TTTGACGTGATGGAATATTTTCTGTTTAAAAGCATAATTTGGAAAGTGTCATAACGGTTATGATTTTGGGTTTCTTTTGAGATTTCCTTAGTTAATTACCTTTTAACCCCACTCCCTCTAATACATTTTTTCCCCTTTGATGCCATTCAGAACTGCAGTCAGTATTTTTGTAGCTCTGTTTTGCATTTACCTTGAAAAAGTTTGTAGTAGTAAAGCAAAAGAAGTATTCCTGTATAATTGTACTTGTTTCAGGTCCTGCATAATTACTGTCATAGTTGTGTAGCACTTCAACTGCAAGCGTGTCTTGTGAATTGAGTTTAGCTGTATGCCTCTCTAAACTTCCTTCATTTGTTGTCTGTGATGATTTTAGGTGGAGAACTTCATTTCCTTCAGATTGGAGGGACCTGCGATGACATAGATGAAGCTGATATACTTGTAGATGGATCCCTTTCCAAAAGTGTAGAACAGTCATCAGAAGGTACCAAGCCCTTATCTAACCCTTCTAGTCCAGGCATTACAGGTAAATTGCACATGTTGGAATGTATCTTAAATAAAAATACTTTTGTAAAGTTCGGTATTAAGATGATTCTGAGTTATTTATTAGCATGCCGCTTTATACTTTTTTTGCTGCCCAGAGTTGGAGTTCTCTAGCTGCTGTATGTCCATCACTGGTTATTTACAAGCATAACACTTCAGCAGTTCCTGATTTACAAACAAACAAACAAACCAAAAAAACCCACCACCACCACAACAAAAACCAACCCCAAACCACTATCACAACAAAGCCAACAACAAAACCACCAACCCCCCCCCCACCCCGTACTTTTGTATAACTGATTGTTTTCCAGTCTCTACATGTTATTTTAAGTGTGGCAGACAGGGAAAAACACGTAATTGTGCAGACACTGAGCTTTCCTCATAGTTTAGATAGGCTTAAGCTCTTTATTTGGAAATAAAATCATATGTTCGTTATGTAAAATTGCCTTAAAATGTTATGAAGTAGCTGTACAACTCTACTTAAGAAAACTGTACAAAAGATGTATTCAATAGATATTGTTGCACACAGTGAAACTGATGCTCCTATACTTCAAGCAGTGCAGTTGCTGTTGATTAAATTAAGCTTATGATGTGAACGCTTGGATTTTTGTTTTTAGCAGTTTGTCAGGTTGAGCTATGCTCAAAGTCTGCTGTCATTTACCTACTAGTTTCCTTCCTGGGAAGGTTGTCTGCCCTTAGACAGCAAGAATTAATTGTTTCTAATTGTCCAAGTTCTATTTTTACCCTAAACATCTTATTTAGGCCCGGTCTTTACTGCAGTTCTCATATACCAGTCCTGCCACCAGTCTGCTGCCTTTTGCAGTACCCTGCCCCACTTAAGTAAAATAAGGAGTTGGGTGAGAGCGTGGTTCCTTTTGTAGTGAGGTAGAATGGGAAAATATGAGGGGCTTCTCCTGCTTGTAAGGGAGACCAGTGAGTATGCAGGTTATGGGAGGTCTTGTGTGGGCCTCTCAGTCTTTTCTCAGCCCTCATCAAAGATGCTTCAGCGTAGATAACTTGCTACTAAAACTTAACAACAAATCTAATTTTGCTGGTTGAACCTCAGGAAGATTTGAGTCATGCTGACTATGTATATATATATTTAGTCTTGCTTCGAGTTTTAAAGGGAATTGTTTGAGAGAGCTGTAAACTATTATGTTTTTCATTTTGTTCTAACCTGCAATTGTTGAAGATAGAGACTCTAAGCATAATTATTTTAATTGGGTTGGAGTTTGGAGGTTTTGGTCATGTCTATAGGGACAGAAATAGGGATATACTGGGAATAGATGACCTAGAATATAAAATACAAACATAAACAATACAAAGCATGAAGATAAAGCAGTGATACAACGGAAGGAAACCATTCATGTAGCTATGACTGTTCCATAGAAATGATGTTAATGTTGTGTGTGTGTGGTGGGGGCTGTCTTTGCCTGTGGCTGCAGAGGACAAGAGAAGCTGAGAGAGGACGGAGTGCCCGTTCAGGGACCATTTTGGATCGTGGTGTCTTTGTTGGCAACAGGCTACTTTCTGTCTTTCTCCCCAACCCCCTGCTCACTGCCAGCCTTTGTAACACTTTAAGTTGTGTTGTGCTGGTTTTGTGTGACCCCTGATTTTGCTCCATGAGAGTCAATCAAAAGAGGGAAGGAGAAGATGCTTTTCGTCCTAATATCATCTGTAAGCAGCAGTACAACCGTTGCTGTCTCCTCTGCTTTGAGGACTGGTTTTCACCTGCTCCTCCTCTTTTTCACCAAAGGAACCATTCCTGAAGTTTGGAAACCACTAGGTAATAAACTATTGTACGTATCTGAGGGAGAGAAGTCTGTGGCTTTCTTCTGCACCTTTATTTTTTTGCTAATGCAAATAAAGTAATAAAGAGAATATGAATATCCAGGATACAGATGTACTTGAATAGATGCATTCCCTGTACAGTCGCTTATTAGCAGATTTCGATGACTTCCAATCAAGTGGTAACTTTCGCCAACCTGATGAGTCAAACTAATGATCATTACTGGTTAAATTCTGCCAGTACTGTAATGGACAAATTGTTGTGTGAGTTTTTTGGGTTTTATTGGTGGGGTGTTTTTTTTTTTCTCCTCCTCATCCAGCCTTCAGTATAGGCTTGAATCTGGCTTATTGGAACAAGAAAGGGATTTACTTATGTATGGACTTCAAAGTAGCTGTATCTTTAGATTGTCTGCAAGCTGCAGGTCCTCTTTTTAAGTAGTCATATAATTCGGAGAGTGTAGTATTGCTTGATCTTGGTCTCTCTCTAATGGTTTCCAAAGAGGAGTTGGATACACAGTAATGATTGGGTCAATTGAGTACTGTTTTGCTGTGGCATCAAACTGAGCCACTAAAAGCTGTGGGAGAAGCTTTATAGTCCTAGGAAGCCGGTACTGAAACGAGGAGACTGGAGGGAAGAGTTGAAACCAAATGGTGTTGCAGAGCTCTTTGAGCTATCCGGGTTAAGGATACTGAAGTCAATACTACTGGATTCTTAGCGTATGATGTGCGAATGATTGCTAGGACTTTGCAAACGTTTTCTAATGAAGCTGTCAGCATGTGTATGCATTATGATCAGACATTGCCCCCAACATTTATAGCATCAGTGTTGCTTCTCTTTTCATCAAAGTACTCAAACAGCAGAAAAAATGTTTTCTTTCACTTCTATCTTGGCATGTTTTTCAGACAGAGACATAGCCCAACAGAAAGCTTTCTGTTTGGGGAAATGAACTCCTAGGTGGATCTGACTGAGCATAAAGTCTTGATCTGGATATCTCGGTCACAGCTGATGGCAGGCAGCGGCAGAGTGTTTTTATGAAATCACTTTGGTGATCTCTGAAACTAGCTGAAAGATGCTGCAGTCAGGATAGACACTGCAGCAAGAAACACAAGCTTTTGGCCGTATGTTGTTCATATATATTGTGGGTTTTGCTTGTGTCTTTGTTTTTCTGTGTTGTTGGCATTCTGGAATGTATTTCTTAAATTGTATTTTCTAGCTTGCATTTACAACTTCGATACTTTTTACATTGTATTGTTTTAGAAGGAAATATATTAACCTTACCAAATTGTAAATCTTAGATTAGGTTAAACTCATTTCCCTTGAAGGAGTGGAGCGTTTTTTGTGGTGATCTAAAAGAATGCTTTTTTTAGAAGTGGGTTGAGAAATAATATTAGTTTTCCTGACCGGTTTAAAACCTTTTTTTCAAGTTCACTATTAGACCTTCAGCTTGTCATAACTCACACCATAACAAAAATCATGTAATTTTGCAAAAGAAGCCAAGTATACTTGATAGCACTGGAAAGTTAAACCCTTCATTTTTCCGTTTTAGGGGTTGATACCACATTACATGTGGTTGCTCTGAATACTCTGAATTTATTATTCCTTCTGTGGAAGGGGGAGGGAGAATGAAGCAGAAAAAACCCAAGTCTACTCAAAGATAGAATTGTTGCACGGTTTGAGCTATGATCTCACTTCTCATTCCAGTGTCATCTAGCTAATGAGGTTCACATTTGGCAGTAAAAGAAAATGAAGGTGTTTGCTGTATTATTGAAACTGAATTCCTAAAGCATTTCTAATTTGTAATCTCTGCAGCATTTTCTTGCCTCCTAGATTGAAAAGTAAAAATCATAGTAGTTGCAATGGGAGTGAATGTTTTGCCCAACTCTGGGTATCTGATCTTGAGTTTTTCCACTTTTCGGGAAGAGGTGCGTGTACCTTTCTGCTCTCAAACTGGAGGACGTTGTTGTTTTTCTGGTTTGCAAGATAGTATTTAGGTTTGGACTTCACTGAGGGGGTATAGTACATTGGTGTGTTTAATTTTATTTTTTTTTCCCCTCCCTCATTTCTTTACAAGTAAAAGATTTTCTCCAAAATACATTTTTAAGAGAAAATGCTTGAAATGTAAGAAAATTGAGATTGTGCGTATCTTATTTTCCCTCAAGTTTTCAATTTTTTTCTGTCTGGGGAAACCTGATTATTTTTAGAATTCCTTTGTAATGTTTCTTTAGGTCTTTGTCACCCTGGGATATTTTGATTTTCAGTACTTCTTTAATTAATATCCTTGTTTCCTCAGTGTGAGACTTCAATATGATGACAAGAAGACAGAATACTTGTCTAGACCCAGTGTCTTTTAATTGCATTACATAAAGCATGTTTGTTTTTCACTTGCCTCTCTTTTAAGCTAAACTGGGAGACTTCCAAAACATTCTAATAATCCACTATAAAACAGGTCTATTGATAAGCAGGTGCCAAAGTAATGTTTTAAATAGTGATAAAAATGTTACAATCGCATAGTAATTCCATATGTCTGTTTTCATGAAATACAAAACTTGTATGTTTTCTTTTTTATCTTAGTCAATAGAGCTATTAAAAAAAAAAAGTTTTAAGCAGCTTTACATCATCAAAGTATAGCTGACTAATTACTTTTTGCTAATGCTTCTGGTTGAAACCCAGACAACATACTCAGAGGTCTCAGTACTTAGAATATTTTCTCCAAATGAATTGCCTTCAAAGGATACTGGCTTCAAGGCTAGGGTTGTTTAGTTGCTTGTGTTTGGTTTGTTGGGGGTTTTTTGTTGTCCTTTTTTTAATTTGGTTTTTCTTTTGTTTTGTTTTTTTAGAAACTTCATATAACACGTAGTTAATTTCACCTATAGCAGTTTGGATATATTTCAAATTGTTTATAGGACGTTCTGGAAGAAATATCTGTGTAGTAAATAATGTATGTTCTGTAATTATTCAGGAGTTGATCTTTTGGTGGACCAGCCATTTTCCCTTGAAACACTGACATCCCTGGTGGAACTGACCCGTTTTGAGACCTTGACACCACGCTTTTCAGCCACTGTCCCTCCCTGTTGGGTCGAAGTCCAGCAAGAGCAGCAGCAAAGGCGGCATCCTCAGCATTTGCACCAGCAGCACCATGGGGATGCAGCTCAGCACACTCGAACTTGGAAGCTACAGACAGATAGGTAAGTAGGGTAACGACGCAGAAAGAATCCTGTGCCTATTGCTTAACTAGTTCATATAGCTGGTATAATCACAAATCTCATGCAATTTCATGTTTTTAAGTAGTATGCAAGTTTAGGAACGTGTGCTTTCAAAGATAATAATCCCTGTTTGGTAGTTTGTGTTATAGGTCTTTATGAGATTGCCAGAGTTGTTTTAGTGGACCTTGAAACAAATTGAAAAGTCAAGTTGTGAATTTGTATGTTTTTGTTTGCCAACTGTTGACATTTCATTATGTAATTCAACAAGCACATTCATCAGAATTACTGGCATTCTTGTTTCTGTAAAACTCTGATTCACTCTTCTTATGCATACACGCATTCTTAGTACATTTTTTAATTGGCAAATGCCATCTGCAGGTGCCAGTATGACTGATCAGTTGTCCCAAACAAAATCGCATTGTAATTTATTTTAAAATGTGAAGATAGAATCTGGATTTATGTCTGTTCACGTCAAGTTAAATCTTTATATGCAAGACATTTACTTAAGCCATTATAGAGCCCTAGCTATGCTAAAATTTAGGCAGTGTTTTCATTGAAATGAACTGCACTGACATGGTATGTGTGGTTGTTCTTAGTTTTTTACACGTGGCATGAGAACTTGGAGTTTCTCTGGGATCCAGAAGACTAGAACAGCTAGTAGTGTAGTCTCCTTGAAGAGTTGCTTAAAACCTACCTGAAGTAGCTTTGCATAGTTTTTCTGAAAAATGCTTGGAGAAGCAAAAAAAAAAAAGATATAAATTGTGTTGTTTTGTGTTTGCGTTGTGCATAATAAGGTGCTAAAAGATCTTTTGGGTCAGGCTGTCACACATGTGTCCCACTGGTGTATATGGTTTGGATAGTAATGTAGAATCTAAATGCCCATACAGTGGAAACAATGAAACAGCCAAAGGATGCTAGAGATCATATGTGGGGAGAAAAAACTTGTCGGGTAGATAAGTGGGTGCTACCATGTGATAACGAAGCATTCCAGGTGGGAAAACAGGTCTGCAAGGTGATAGTTGCAGATGTTTCCAGGGCTGGCACCTAACGTGAGCTGAACTTGCTTTAGTTAAATATTCGTAAGCTATGGTTAAAAACTTGCAGTGCATGATAGACTTTAAAACTTTGATATACCTTGTGGTTTTGCTTTGTGTAAGTAAAATATTCTGTATGTAACAAGTGGAAAGGAGGTAGTTCCTTGCAAAGTAACTTCCAGTTGTAACTATTGATAATCCAGTGTATTCAGCAACAGTTGAAAAGTAAAAAGCTGTCAGTATGACGATACAAGGAAGCAAACAGTGAAGAAGGTAATAGCTGTTAATTGGTAGGTGATAGGCAGAACATTAGCTTATGAATATTGTTTCATTAGAGGAAAAGAATTATGCCTGCTGCAAAGTAGAACAGGAAGCTAAAGAGGTAAAGTTAGAAGTTTTGGTTCAGTACTGGAATTCTTTGATAGCTGCTAAATGACTCATGAGGAAAATGATTAAATTACAGTCCCTTGGTTCATAGGGTAGAATATACCCTATTGATAAAATTGAGAGCAAAGCTAGCTCTTAACTAAAAGTTTTATGAGAAGAAACTTTTTGATTTCTGGATTATTTTGTTGATCTTAATATGAGGTTCCTTTTATCTCCCCTTTGAGTGTCTCATACTGATTCCTATCAAGATGTGGGACTACAGGATTAGATGGATGAGTAATGCAATTTGATATGGTAATTCTTTTGTTTCTCAAATAGATACAAGGAGATAATACTGTAGAAGTATTTTAAGGAATAGCATTATATTACACTTGCGCTCTTTCAATCCTACTTTGTTATTTTAAAAAAGGCTGTGTAACAGAGAAAACAGAAAAAGCAGAGTCTGGTTTACCTTATGAAGCTGGGATTGGCCTCTTCTCCCAGGCAATCGGTGACAGGACAAGAGGGCATAGTCTGAAACTGTACCAGGGGAAGTTCAGGCTAGAAATGAGGAGGCATTTCTTCACAGAAAGGGTCGTTGGGCATTGGGATGGGCTGCCCAGGGAGGTGGTGGAGTCACCATCCCTGGAGGTGTTTAAGAAAAGACTGGAGGTGGCACTTGGTGCCATGGTCTAGTTGACATGGTGGTGTTGGGGCAAAGGTTGGACTCGATGATCCCAGAGGTCTCTTCCAACCAAATTGGTTCTGTGTGATTCTGTGTGAATTATCTAAATATCAGTATTTCCCCTTCAGTGGTAATTTAACTGAAATGTTAAATTAGGTTAATAGTTTTAAAAGACGTACGTGAATTCTTAATGTGCTTTGATAAAACAGTGACATCTAAGTTTCCTGACTTTTTCTCAAATTTATATAGGAAATATTTTATGTATTCATCTTATGCAGACATATTGGAAAATATGTGAAAGAAGAAGGATCTAGGTACTGATATGCTTTCCAGTATTTAAAGTCTGGAAATGGATCCACAGCTCAAAGTTCAGTTGTAGTGGAAGATCAAACATTTATGAAGTGTTGTAGCAAAGGAATGAAGAAGTACGTTGGAAAATATTTTGTAGTTGTGAGAATGATGGTATATTTGTATTTAGAACAGAGTCTTGATTGTGTGTTCTTTAAAAAGATGCTATAGATTTAGAAGGGTTTCAGAGGTGAGAAAAGTTGCTAAAAGAACTTGCATTAGATTATCAGAGAAAAGCGATACTTAGGATGGATATGCTAGAATATTGAGAAAATACTAAGGAAGTAAATTTTTGCTTTGAAACTTTACACATGAATAAAGACAATGCACTTAAACAGAGCTATGAGAAATTAAAAAACTGTTTAAAGGGGAGTTTTTCACTCATCACAAAATTAGAGTGTAAAGTTCATTGCCACAGGTATAAGAAGATCTTTTTGCTCTTGGGTTAATGTGAGACCTTCATGGAGGGTCGTTATTCCAAACATGCCTATTGAGAGGTACTTAAAACTTCCTTTGGGGCATCTGCTGCTAAATTCTGTCAAAAATAGATTTCTGGGGTAGATAAATAACAGCTGTAATTCGGTACAGCAGTATGTGTCATGTGCAGCATACAAAAGATTACTGCAGACAAGCGGGTTTATTTATTAATTTCTGGTTTTGTGCCAGATCTTTAACTTGAAGTGGATGAGCAGAATATTACTTAGCCTTTCAGAAGGCTTGCTCCTTTGAATGTCTCATTCAGTCCATGCTTTGCATGATACCTATAGGAACACTCAGTCATAAAAAACCACCCCCAAACCTCTCCCTGTTTTGCACAGGGCTATATATTCTCCAAGCCAGAGGAAAGACCTGAGTGATTCTAAGTTTTTAATGTTACATTTGCTAACAGAGGTTTTTTTTCCTGGAATTGTAGGATAAATTTTCATCATATTTTATTTACCTAAGTTATTTGTACAGTTAGCTGAAAATTCTTCACTATTGCTTCTTAAATTGTAACCACAAACTTTCTTCTGTCCATCGTTTGCTTCTGTCCGTGTTTCCTCCCCAAATCACTACTTTTCTACGTTACTTGTTCTGGGAAGCTGGCGTGCCGTTTCATTATGTGTACCTGGAATCCATTGCAAGTGTATTATACTTGCCTGAGGGAGATATGGCTTTCAGGGATATTACTGTAAAAAATGCAAGGAATTAAATATATTTGTACCAATCTTTAGTCTATTTTAAAATTGTTTTCTGCACAATACTTGATGTGCAGTATATTATTTGATTTAAAATACCTTTTTGTAATTTAGATGTTAGAAAAACATCTAACCAGTATTTATAGCAGCATGCTCAGTTTCTTAGTTATACAATTAAATAATCACAGGCTATCAAAGTTACTACACTTTAAAAAATTATTTACTGATAAATTGAGAAGATCAGGAAGTGCAGTTACTTTAAAAATGTATACAAATGGCACGTGATTAGTATTATTGGAATTGCTCTTCGGTTTGGACTATTTTTTAGCAAACCTTAGTGTATCAAACTATGGAAGTGATCATTGAGGGGTCCTTATTATCTCAAGTTTACACTCTCAGTGTAAACCAGAGTCAACTTCAGAATGAAAATATGACTCGTTAAAAGAAAGCTGCACCCATTTTGCACAGTGCAGGCTTCTGAGTGTGCACCTGGTAGGAAGCAGTTCTCATCCTGTATAAATTATCAAATGTATTTAAAAAAATAATTTGAAACTAGTATCTCCTGGATGTGGCAGTTGTACCAGTGGAAAGTGACGTTGTTTAACACTTACCAATGGAGAAAGCCAATTTAAGAGACTGCAGGGTAGTTACTGTCATGCTTTCATACACTTCACTGATGGGTAGATCCTTTTCCAGTGGTTTCCCCCCTGGCCCCCAGTCCTTTTTTGCTAGAAGTGAATAACTGATATTTATAGTAACATGGAAACAGTACTGCAATGAAGGTAACAGGAAATCTTTTCACTGCTACTTTTATCCGAATATTGATTCACCCTTGCTTATCAGTTGGCTTTTAACATACTCACAAAATGAATGTGCTTAACTGCAGCTTGAAAGACTTCAGAAACTCATGTGATGTCAACGACTGCAAAATAAGTTTTTCTTCTTGTTAAAGAAAGTGTGCATAGATGGAGAATGCACTGGGTAATGCTGCCTGCTTGATCTGAATTTTCTCTTAACACTGGATCATTGTCGTCTTTTTTCCTGACAGCAACAGCTGGGATGAGCATGTCTTTGAACTGGTTCTACCAAAAGCCTGTATGGTTGGACATGTGGACTTCAAATTTGTTTTGAATTCAAACATCACAAACATTCCCCAGATTCAAGTGACTTTACTGAAAAATAAAGCTCCAGGCTTAGGGAAAGTCAATGGTAAGAAAGAACTTAAGATATCTTTCAGAATATTATTTCTTTTCTCAAACTCATTATTCTCTGCAATGTGTATTAGAAGAATTGCTTGAAATTGTGTAAATATTTTGGTTTTACTCATTTCCATTTTATTCTGTTTCTCAGCATCATGGTCTGTTTTCACTTACCATGTTTGAATGTAAATTGGGAAAACAAACTGGGTAAACAGTTCCAAAATCCTGAATTTTGTACAAATAAAAGTGCATAGCTCAAGAAGGTTGAACTGAATTATTATTCTGTACTGCTTGATTCCTACAGTCATTAAAAAAATATGTTGTCAATTGGAAATCACCTTAGAGATTGACTGATGAAACAAATGGTGCTCTTTAAGTTCTTGATATGTTTTAAAAAATTATAATAGATTATTCCAGGTCACAGAAGGAAATTATTTGCCATTGCCTCTGGGATGCATAAGAGAAAAATAGCAAGGTTTTTTTTTTGATGGCAGTAGATAAAACCTGCCTTCCTTGGGAATTCTCTCATCTGACTCCTTAACTAAGCTACGTGAAAGCTGCGGTATGATTTCACCTTTTGTTCCTTGCAGCTCTGACAGGGTAGACCAAAGTTATGAATGCTCTTGCCTTGGGAAGACTCCTAGCTGGACTCTGCATCTTACTAGCTCTCAGGGAACCTGTGAGGGGGTAGCATAAATTGAAAAGTCACTTCTTTGATGTGGAAGAGTTTGTGCCTCCATTGGGATTTTCCTGTGGTGAGAGTGTTCATTGCATGTCCCGCTGCCTTGTCTGCTAGGGATGGAAGGTATTACCTGCAGCACTTCCTTTTATTGAGGCATTAATTGGTTATCTTTATCTGGCCACCTCTTTTTCAAAAGCTTCTAGGAACTCGGTATTTCAGACAGATCTTGCTGTTGGATATTATTAAATTGGCTGCTGGATATAAAATGTGTTGGGGAGAACAGCAAGCATGGTTATAAAAGCTCTTTTTTGTTTTTGTTTTTTTCTTTTTTATTTGTTTAAATGCTAAGTGAGAGCACCCCAATTAAACAAGGGTAAAAGAACTGTAAATTTTAAAAAGGAATACAGGCATACCAAAGATTGTTGACATGCTTTCATACAACTTTCCTCTCTGTAGCATCTCCCAGTGTTTATCAAGAAAAAAAGGGTGCTGGAGATGCTCCTTGAAGAAATCCTATAAACTGGGAGTTATCCAATAATAAAATATTCTAGCATCGTAATATTCTTGGAGAGAAGTGGGGTTTTTAGGGGGGATGCAAGATGATTTAAGAGTTTTAAGAGAAGTGCTAGCTGTGATAGGACAGCAGTCAACAGGTGTTCTTGCAGGTTCTTCCTTTGTTTAATGCTTGAAGTAAAACCTTAATTTTCACATGTAGCAGAATTTTGTTTTATCAAAGCAAAAAATAGGACAGATAGTCTATGTCACTCTCCTGCACGGAACCTGCTTTGTTTTCAACTTGAATTTTAGAATTCAGTCCATTTGCAGACCTGGATGTCAGAATTAATCTGAAAATCTTCACCTGTGAAACAAAACAGCAGAAGAAAAGCTAAACCTTTTTCCTTAATGTTGGAGTTTTAAATATTTCTGAGCAAAGAGTTGCATGAGTTGGTAATTCTTTGAAGACATTTGATTTGGCTGTGAAACAGGTCACCAGAGCTTTCTGTGGATGCTTTACAACCTATCGATCATAAGAGATGACCGAACTCTTCCAGAGAGTGACATTTCACTTCCTTAACATGCAGTGTAGTGGAATTTGCTTTTGTCTGTTATGGAGAGGGTGGAGAAAGCACGGAGTGGGGGACCAGAGTATACACAGTCAGTCTGGAAAGGGCTCAGGGATGTGGGAATGCCTGCGAGGCAACCTGGGCAATTTTTTGGTCTTTTTTTGGTCTTTTTTTCTTTCTGATTCAGTAGGATTGGGGAGCCTCAACTAATCAACATCCTCCCAAGTGTTATCGCATTGGAGTTGTTTCCTACCCTTTTTCAATTTCTTGGGTTTTGGAAAAGGACCTTAATGACATTTGCCTCTCTTCTGTGCACTATTGAATGAAGTAATAGGGCACTAATGATTTCATTATAAGGGAAGACAAACTTCAGTCATTTATATCTGTGCTGGATAATAACCAAAATGTTACAATAACAGGAAGAAGTAATAATCAGGATTGTTTGGTGGCTATTGAAGATGTATAAAATCTTCAGACTGAAATTCGGTTAATTAAGATAGAGACCTAAGGAAGATGTGCAGGGGAGAGTTTATTCAGTCATTTTTTTGTGTGACAGGAACCCTGGAACCAGTGAAATAGGTAGTGTGTAATAATGGGAAGGCCAGAGGCATAATTCTAACGGTTTGGGA